AAGGGAATTGGGATGGGGGCTGGGGAGGTGAGGACAATGAAATAACAATAGAAAGACAAGCGATAAAGAAGACATAATTTGAATGGAAGGAACTTAGCAGTGACCTAGTCTGACCTTTTTGGTTTGCCAGTGAGGACACAGGTCTGATGAGGGAAGTGGTTTTCCTAAGACCACACAACTAGTTAGTGGTCTGTCTGCTCTCTTCCCTTGCAATGATTTTTCACGATTTTCAAGACTTTGATTTTTTTAGGAGTTGATTGTGGGGAGCATGAAATGCATGCTGCAAAGACGGCTGCTGAGACTGGAGTTCTCACCCCTTCCTCCTTGCAGAGACTACTCAAAAATGCTGATGCCTCAAAATCTTGTCTCGTGTATACACCATCCTGGCCATAGATAAGGCTTGGAAGGGTTTTCCTTTACCATTCATGGCTCCTCCATCCCAGGGGCTGGGGAAACATTGCCGCCTTCCCCAGGGTGTTATCTCAGGAAAGCCAGTTAATAGGGAAATGAGTTTTCAGTTAGGTGTTAGAAGTGGAGAATTATTTCTGAGCCTCAGTTTCCGGTTGTGATTTGGTTGAGCACTCGGAGTGGGTACTTGAGTTTCAGAACTCTGTTTGGGCGTATGGGGTTGGCAAGGACACTGCTGGCCATGGGGAAAGAAGAGGATGGCCCTGGCTCATTCTAGTACAACCCACATACACATTGAACCACTGTTCTCAAAACACTGCTACGAACCTCAGCAGCCTGGAGATTTTCAGTTCCCCACATTTCAAGCAATACTCTGGTTCGCTGATCCATTTGGATGGTTCCTCGTACTCAGTGGTAGTGGCACTCAGAAAGGAAAAACAGGTGAGCAGCAGAGATACAGGTGTGACTAAGCCCCTGAGTAAGGTGAACCATTTATCTTTTTTCCCTTATCAGTTTGGACTAATAAATATCTGGAAGGACTAAGTGTCCTTTCAGGGAAACTAATCAGAAGGACATTTGGGACTCATTTGGCCAAAAGAAATTGCATGCTCTTGAAGTTCACCCAGTGAAACCGATGTGGTTTTGGCTGTTTGGGGAACTCTCTCCTCATCGTCCCTGCCCCATACCGTTTTGGTCTGTCTTACCGCCTCTGCCTCATTTCTCAAGTGAGTCTTCCAAGTTAGCAGGATTACCTCATGGCTATAAAGCAAAAAGAACTGTAGTTTTCAAGTTTCTCCAAAGAGGGCTTCAAGTATCTGGTGGATACATTTTCTTTGCAGGGCACGTTTTTTACAGAGGTATTTCTTTCAAGTCTTAATATCTGCCTCACTGCAGTAAGTTGAGGGTGGAGGGGCTGGGGAATGAACACTTGTGTCCATGAACATACAACAAAGTACAGAGAGGAGCTCAGCGACATATCTAGCCTTCTAACTATCCTGTTTCTTGGCTACTAATGTCAATAATAGCTGCTGCAGCCACAGTGTTTTCAAGTCAGCAGAAGGAAAATATACTCATCGATGGTGACCACTTTTAAGAATAACGTTTATTGTTTTTCTCATTATTAAAGTTAGCATGTCTTTATGGAGAATTTGGAAAGCTCAAAAAAGTTTAGGAAATACATTATTTTAATTTGTGACTACTTTGTTAAGTTTATGCTCAAAGCTTTTTGATGAAGACCCACTTCTATGGAAATCTGGTTTCTTGTTTAGAGCGTTTGTCTTCTCTCTTAGCATCTGAATCTTATTAGAGGTGTTCTTCATTTGCTATAAACTGAGACTACTGAACCATGAACTTTCAGAATTCATAAAACAAGGAATTAATTTATATTCCACATACCCTTCTGACCCAATGTTCTGATTAGAGCTATCACAGATAACATAACGCCTAATAACGTTGCACTGTTGCCAACCAGCTCTGATGGATATTGTAGATGGTGAGATAAAGGGAGGAAAGAAGTTTCTATGAGCATTTCTTTTTCCTTTATGGGGAAAATGCAGATAACTTTAGATGAATTTGGAATCCAGCAAGCTACTGCTGCACAAAATGAGAGATACAGATACTTAGTGGAGTAGATATTCCAAAAAGATGATTGTCAAATGGTCTCTGCCCTTAACCATGCCTTATTAGCGTGGTGGTAACGCTAACACCATTCTTAGGGGCATTTTCACATTCAATTGACTTATTGTTGATTATAAGGGAGCATCAGTTCAGCATTCTTTCTTTCACAAATTATGCTGGAAATCATATGTTTAATTTCTGCTAATAGAAACTTCTAGCAAAACTGGGGGGAAAAATTAAGTATTTAAAGTTTTCAAATGAATTCAGGAAATAGGTGGGTGGACGTTTTAGTCTGTTGGCATGTGATTTGTGGGTGGGAATTTCTTTTTTAAGCAAGAACAGTGAACTATATTGACTGACCATGTCTTCCAATGTAATGTCTCTGAGAACCAGAATGCAGACAAGTGCTCTTTGTCTAATTGAGTGAATAAAAAAAGTGTGTTGGCATGAATAGGCCATGTGCCTTTTCAGGGACGAGGGACACATGCCAGGGCCTGTTGAATTAAAATTATAAAAGCATACCCATAAAATTTGTTTGTAGATCGGAAGAGGACCGCAGGATATGCAAGTTATCCAAGTCCAAAACTTGCACTGGAAGCAGAAGCAGGGTGTGGGCGGTGGTTCAGAGGAAGAATGGTGTTGAAACGTTAGACATGTGCAGCCATCAGTTGTCTTCACAATCTGCAATCAGTTGCAAGAACTTCTCAGGCTTTAACATTTGTAAAAGAAGCAGTCGTGTTTGCTTTGTGCCTTATATAACTATTCAGTGTAATACTTCAAAATGTCAACGTCTTGGTTGAAGAGCTTGAAAATGGTTCTCTTGAAGTGTGTGTGAGTAAAGGGATGAGAGTTCTAAGGAGTGGCGATTAATAGCTCCGGGGGTGGGGGGGGGGCGCTCATCATTCCCCAAACTCTGCTCTGTGTGATCTGGCCAGCTGGCTTCCAGATTTTCATCCATGCCGAAAGAGCCAATAGAAAGATAAAGTCAGTTACTAGGAGAGGCCTCCAGTGCCTGCCAGGGTTCTAAAGCATTTTGTTAAATGAAAGGGCCAAATAAAGATGCCATGCAGACCTGAGTTGAGCACTGGCTTTCCGCCCGTAGCTGTGTGCCCTCTTCGGGCCTCGGTCATTTCACTTGTCAAATGGGGCCATTATCACCTGTCACTCCGCCCCGCCTCCACTGCACACCCTGGTACAAGCCACAGTCATACCTTACGTGGCCACTGGTCGGGGCATCCTAACCAGTCTCCTTGCTTTGATTCTCACCCCTTTAAAACCCATTCTTCACGCACTAGCCAGAGTAGAGTGATGAGGTTCCCTGTCTCCATCTGAAACCATCTCGTTTGTTTGCTTATTTGTTCTTGTCTCCCTGATCCCCCCCAACGCGTTCCCCCCCCCCCAGAATACAAGCGTCACTGTCTCTGTCATACCCTTAAAGCTGTACACTGGCTTCTGGCAGATGCTCCTTCCTCCTAGCCACTTTTGCCCCTGGTGTTCTCTTGTTCTCCTTTGTTATAGGAGTTTTTGCTGAGCCTCTTTGAAATGGGAGGCAGGAAACCTGGAGGCGAGTTTTAGTTCTGACACTTTTCTGTGGGCCCTTCATTAAGAAAGTCACTGGGGGGGGGCAATGGGCAATATATGTAACCTTAACACTTGTACCCCCATAATATGCTAAAAGAAAAAAAGAATATTAATAAAATAAAACAGACCTTTGGGAGCTCTCTCTGCTCTTTCTGCCATGAGAGGATACAACAAGAAGTCAGTGGTTTGCCATGGAGAAGGGGGCTCTCACCAGAACCTGACCATGCTGGCACCATTGATATTGGATTTCTGCCTCTAGATCTGTGAAAAATAAACTTCTGTTGTTTGTAAGCCAAAAAAAGAGAAAAAGAAAGAAAAACAAGAAAGTCACTCGATGAAATGTGCACCTTGAAGCTCTGACTCAAGGGGGGGGCATGGGCAAAAAAACGAAACCTAAAAATTGGAACCCCAAAAAAAGCCGAAAAAAAAAAAAAAAGAGAAAGTCACTCGACTTCTCCAGGCCTCAGTTTCCTTACCCGTGACGGAGGGCGTATGACTCTGTTAGGACTGCAGTACCAAAGGCTTGAACACCGAAAATTTATTTTCCCATGATTCTGGGGCCTAGAAGCCTGAGATCAAGGTGCTGGCAGGGTCGGTATCTTCTGAGGCCTCTCTCCTCGGCCTCCAGATGGCCGTCTTCCCGCCGGGTCTTCACATGGTCTTCCCTCTGCGCGTCGTGTCCTAATCTCTTTTTATTAAGGACATCAGTATCAGTTATCCTGGAGTAGGGCCCATTCTAATGACCTCATTTTACCTTTTCACCTCTTTTTTTTTTTTTTTTTTTTTTGAGACAGAGTCTCTCACTCTGTTGCCTGGGCTAGAGTGCCGTGGCGTCAGCCTAGCTCACAGCAACCTCAAATTCCTGGGCTCAAGTGATCCTCCTGCCTCAGCCTCCCGAGTAGCTGGGATTACAGGCATGCGCCACCATGCCCGGCCGATTTTTTTCTATGTATATTTTTAGTTGGGCAATTATTCTCTTTCTATTTTTAGTAGAGACGGGGGTCTCACTCTTGCTCAGGCTGGTTTCGAACTCCTGACCTTGAGCAATCCGCCCGCCTCGGCCTCCCAGAGTGCTAGGATTACAGGTGTGAGCTACCACGCCCGGCATCCTCTCTTTATTTTTGTGTTTAAAAGTATGTGTGTGTGTGTGTGTGTGTGTATCCAGCAACAATATCAATAAGTTACAGACAACTGAAATGGAAGAATTTACTAAAAGGCACCAAAAAAATGACATCTGAGGAAGGGGCTTAGAATTTTTTCCCTATATAATTTTTTTCTATTTTAAATTTAAATATTTTATTAATTAATTTATTTTTATTTCAGCATATTATGGGGGTACAAATCCTATATAATTTTTGAAGTCTACAGTAAACGTTTTTCTCCCCCCCCCACAGCTGGACACTGACAAGCTGGCCCTCCCCATGAGCCCCAGCCCGCTGAGCCCCATCCCCATGAGCCCCAGCCCCAACGCGAAGCCGGAGAACTCCACTCTCCTGACGGTCGAGCCGTCCCCCCTGGAGAAGAACAAGGGCTTCTTCGTGGACGAGTCGGAGCCCCTTCTCCGCTGCGACTCCACGTCCAGCGGCTCGTCCGCGCTGAGCAGGAACGGCTCCTTCATTACCAAAGGTGGGCGCGGGCAGGTGGGCGCGGGCAGGGGGGCTCGGGCAGGTGGGCGCGGGGCAGGTGGGCGCTGGCAGTTGGGGGCGGGCAGGTGGGCTCGGCAGGTGGGCGCGGGCAGGTGGGCTCGCAGCGCGCACACCTAGAGCCCCCCGGGGAAAAGGGCCCTGGGCTTTCCCCCTTCGCTGGCGCTGCAGTCCTGCTGGAGTCGAGCCATTAGCATGAGCTGCCCTGGAAGATGGGTGGTCAGAACTCCATCGTGACCACAATGGGCCGAGAGAAGCCTCGCCTTTGGCCAGGGGGGACACACCTCAGAAATCCACAGGAGCATCCTTTTATCGTGGGGGTGGCCGTTGAATGTCTGTTTCGTGGAAGGTCTGATGAAATGTAGTCTGGCAGGTTTTTTTGTTTTTTTTTTTTTTTTAAATTATTTACCAGGCTTGCTGAATCCAGGGATTTAAAGTATAGCCTATCTTGAGAGTCAGAAAGGACAGGTTTTAGTGACTTTAATTGATCCTAAAATTCACTTTGTTAAACTGGATTGCAAATAAAATTTTAAACATGATGCATGGATATTTTTGGTAGATAATTTGCCACTTTTAATTTTTGATGTCAGGGTAGGGAATTAGTGTACACACTATATTGATGACAGGTTTTTTTGTTGTTGTTGTTAGAAATTTCCAAGCTTGGGTAATTCCGGTTACATACAGTGAAAGTTTTATATTTTATGTTAATATTATATTTTATATATTTATAAAATGTTATAGTCTATATATTTATAGCTTGTATAGTTTACATATTTATTCTATTTTATACTTATATTTTAATTTGGGTTTTATTTTACATATATCTTAGAGAAAAGTTTTATAATAGTAAGAAAAGTTATGGTTCCTTACCCCGATGTAAGAAATGACCCAAGAAGCAATATTTGCTTATTTAAGTGCTTTAACTCTCTCGGCGGTTTAGTTTTCAAAAACTGCAAAGTAATCAGAAAGTCAGATAAGGAGACTACATTGGCTTGGAATATTCGATCATTTGGAGGGAGTGGGCCTGTGTTTATCTTTGTTTAGTAACGCATTACAGATGGGGGAAAATACTAACGTTTTTTTGGTGGGGGTTGCTGTTTAAGTATTTCACTGTTCTCCTTCTGAATTCTAGATGAATTTAGAAGTCGTTTAAGTCTAGGCAAATGTCACCTTAATGGCACATCAACAACCCATTCAAGCAGGTCCTTGTCTGATCTCTAGGAGGCAGATCTTGTTTGCTATCTTACGTGCAATGCAAGTAAAAAACTCTTGTGGGTTTACGATGTGTCAGAGGCTCACTGGCCCACTGTTAGTGGGGGTGGGGAATAATAGGGTAGGGCGGTAGATGTCTCTCTCCAGGACACTCCCCTCCCCCAGCCCTTTGCCACGTGCCAGTGCAGTGGCCTGACAGCTGTCCCCTTCCCTTCCCTCTCGTCCCCGCAGAAAAGAAGGACACGGTGTTGCGGCAGGTACGCCTGGACCCCTGTGACTTGCAGCCCATCTTTGACGACATGCTCCACATTCTGAATCCTGAGGAGCTGCGGGTGATTGAAGAGATTCCCCAGGCTGAGGACAAACTGGACCGGCTATTCGAGATTATTGGAGTCAAGAGCCAGGAAGCCAGCCAGACCCTCCTGGACTCTGTTTATAGCCATCTTCCTGACCTGTTGTAGAGCATAGGGAAACTGCATTCCACTCAATTTAGTGGCAGGGTGGTATTTTTTGTTTTGTTTTGTTTCTGAGTTTTATTTTTTTTGGAGTGTGTGTGTTTGTGTGTGTGTTTAACAGAGTATATGGCCAGTGTTTGAGGTCTTTCTTCTCCCTTTTCTTTTTTTGTTTCTCTCTGAAAAGTTAGTTTGTAAGCCTTTTCAAGGTATAACCGTTGCAAAATACCCACCACTAATGTTTCTTAAGTTCCATTGTTTTCTCTGTCTTGCCTTCTTATGTACTTTCGAAATCGTTCTGTGCACTTTAAATTCACTTAACTTACTGTAAATGCAGTGTAACTTTTCTTACACACCGGATTGTGAGGCTCTTAACTTAAAAGTGTAATGACATCTTGTGAATCCTATAAACAGTCTTTATGTCTCTTAACCTTCACATCTACTTTTTTTTTTAAAAAAAAAAATTATTACTATTTTTTTAATTGTTTTTCCTTTATAAATTTTCTTAAGGATTAAGGAAATTTAAGACCTGTTGAGTTATTGTAATGCAATTAGACTTTGAGTTCTCTTTTTAATATGTCTTGTGTAGTTCATGTTCATGGCTGAAACTTGACCACACTGTTGCTGTCTTACGGTTTTCACCTGGACACCGTGCAGAATGCTTGATTACTTGTGCTTTTCTTACGCTAATATGTTCTGGGCTGCAGAGATGAAATCTTCAAGCCGTCAGGACTTGCTATTTAAGTGGCTTGACAACTGGGCCACCCAAAGAACTTGAACTTTATCTTCTAGGGATCGAGCTGTTCTGGAACACATTGCTGCACTTCGGAAAGTCAAAATCAAATGCCAGTGGCACCTTTTCCATAGAGAATTTGCCCAGCTTTGCTTTAAAAGATGTCTTGTTTTTTATACACACTTAGTCAATAGGTCCAGTCTGCCCTCAAGGTCTTGATCTTGGTGGGTTTCTTTCACCGTTCATTTACTTTAATTAAAAATGGCTGCAGCTGTAAGAACTCTTGTCTGATATATTTGCAACTATGCTCCCATTTATAAATGTACCCTTCAACGCTCTGTTGCCAGATTCTAATGCAAAGGTAGTTCGGACTCCCTTTGTGTGAGCAGGGTTTGTGGGTCGTGGTGAGGAACCAATTATCAGAAAAATGCCTTCAAGTGTACTAATTTATTAATAAATATTAGGTGTTTGTTACTTGAGTAGTTTGAGTGTATTTAATCCATGAATTTCCTGCCTTGTACATGTGCTTGAGTTATAACTCTTTGATTAGTCTCTTAGAAAAGTATGTGTATTCTGAAAACCTCAGCCTCTCCAGTTGTAAGTCATTCAAATTAGCAAAGGTTTGAGTCTAGAAAGATACCTGGAGGTACATAGGGAAAGGCTCTGGTGAGAAATTACCAAACATTTTCTAGTCTTTTGGGTTAAACATGAGGTTCTTATTTTTGACATTGTCCCTATTTTAAGAAATGAGGAGTTTGAAGGAAGAGAGGTAGTGGAGAGGTACAGGTAGTGACTGCACCTTGGAGTATGTTCTTATGTTCTTACTCATTTCCATCTAGGAAATTTACCACTCCTGGGAGGGTCTTCACAAGTTCACAGATTTTGATGTGAAACCTCACTGCCCCTGAGTAACTTCGGAGGACTTTGTTGGCAGAGTGGCAGGGTGAGGTTTTATGTTCATGTGATGTATGATGTCATTTCACATATCATTCATTGCATGTCCCCTTTAGTCTGGTTCTACAGAATTCCAGTGATCAGAACCTCAGCAATTTTAAGTTCTTCTTTCCGTGAGAAACTGGAAGTAGATGGTCTGTCTGAACATTTGGACGCCCACGTCAGCGACATTAAAGGGTCTTTCTGGTTTCATCCACTTCTATGTGTTTGGTTTCTAGAGAACTATCCTGGCATTCGATTTTACTAATTCTCACACTAGGTTTCCCCTCCTTTTGTCTATTAAAAAACAACAACAACAACAAAACAAAACAGGAACTCCACCACAAAATAAAGGAAAACTAGAATGGGTCAGAGATGGTAGTGGAGGAGACAGATTTTGCTTTTCAGAGGATTTCAGGACTGCCACTAATTTTATGTGGGGATGAAAAACATAAGGAATGAATGAATCAGCATTATGGTTAAGTTTGTAGATTATTTGTAGTTTTGGGATGCTTTCATTAATAACCTACATTTACACAGCTTTATGCTTCACAAAGTGCTTTTTGTATTACTGAATCTTCACAACTCTGCTCTTAAGATAGGTACTATTATTGTGCCCATTTTACAGATTAAAAATAGGTTTATAAAGGAACTAAGGAACTTCAGGCCTGATAGCAAAGAAATGAAACTTGATCCCAGATCTTCTGACTATCTGAATCCAAGACTGACTGTTTTGTCCTATTCTAGACCAGCAACCAGAAATTCTTTGTCTGCTGCAATTGTGGGCAGAGGTCACAGTAGTGGAATTGTTTGGGTCATAAGTAAAACCCCACAGGCAGGTTCAAATTGTGAAAGTATAGGAATGGGTTTTTCAAACCCATAGCTTTTTCAAAAAAGAATGTAAAGTGCAGCTGCATTATGAAAAAATACAAAGTTCTGATCAGCGCCCATAATAGTGTGTTGCTCACTTTGAGCTTTTCTTGGTTGGCTGAAATGGGTGGCTTCCAGGGTGCAGGTGGGGAGGTATGGGGAAAACCAGAAGGGTAAGAAATCGACCAGGAGCCACTGCTGGGATATTTAAACCTGGCAATGAAAATCGTAGAGGCAGGAGAAAGACTAGGTTTAGTTATTGGAAGGGCTAAGGAAGAGACGATTTCTTTTTCTTTAGAGAGCAATAACTGTTTTCTCTAGACTGATTTAGGCTAACTGCAATTAGATCGGGCTGCTTTTCCAAGGAAAGAGTGATTCCTAGTCTGGGAAAAAAGTAGACAAGCAGCAGTGGTTCTCAAACTCTCATGTAAATAAGAATCACCTGGGAACGAGGCGCCTGTTTAAAAAGGCAGATTCCCAGAGAGTCCGATTCGGGAGGTTTGCTATGAAGTCTAAAATGAGCTTCCCACATGATTCCTGGGGCCACACTTAGGAAAACTGCTTTAGATCCTTGCCACTGTGGACCAGAAACGTCCATAACACCTGGAGGCATGGTGTTAGAAACGAATAATCTACTGTGCTCCCCAAGCTTTAATGTGCAAATGAGACACCTGGAGATCTTGTTAAAGGGCAGATTCTGGTTCACTTGTTCTGGGGGACCAGGCTGAGAGGCTGCATTGCTAACAAGCTCCCGAGAGTGATGCCCCGATGCTTCTGGTCTTCAGATCACACTGGGTAGCCTGAGATTATGCCTTGATCTCATCAAAGGCTAACACTAATGTGGGAGGAAATTACACCAATTCCACGGGAGAGAAATAAACAAATTCTGATGATTCAAAGAGACTTTCAGGACAAGAAGTTGCTCGTCAAAATCGATAGCAGTTGTTCTCAATTCTGGCTGCATATTTAAAGCAACAGGGGAACTTTGAGAAATCTAATGCCCAGGCCATATACCAGACCAAGGATGTCAGGATTCTCAGGGGATGGGACTCAGGCAGCAGTATTTTTCAAGCTCTCCAGGAGATCCCAATGTGTAGAGCTTGGGAAGAGAATGCTTCTCAAGTTTCACCCAAGATCTGCTTTTCCAAGGAGTTAACCCCGGGGAATCTGTAGTTTAAAAGGGATTTTGCTGTAGCCAGTCCTACTCAACTCTGCAGACTGGCTTTAGGGCCCATAGCCCTACCGTAAGATTTTATGTGACTATGCTAAAAATTGAAACACACAAAGCACTGATGGGGTGATACCTTAGAGCTTAATTGCATTGAGGAACCCACCTGCAAATACAGTAATCAATTCTTCATGGTTTTGAACATAATGTATAGGTTATGTTTAGTTAAGAATACTTGGGAAATGATGTTATTCTGATGTATGTTACTATCTATATATGTGATAGAAGGTTTGCTAATTTCAAAGAGATGTAGTAAGACATAATGAGTCATAAAACTGCAACAACTATAGTATAGAGTCTCAGACTGTTTGCAGCACCTGGGCCATTTGGGTGGATCAACCTCATTGTACAGTACTGCAGATGCAACAGGTACCTATTGTTGGACTTCAACTTGAGAAAAGAAATGTGATCTCTTGTTTAGTGAATTGTGGCCCTTACCTTTGGAAGGAAACATGGACATCATCTGGGAAACTCTGCGGTTTTTTGGTGGAGAGCTAGGCCCACATCTGCTAGTTAGTAGCAGGGCCTGGTTGCCTTATTCCCTGTCAATACTCTTTCATGATTATGGTCTGTCTCTTTTTGCCTTTTTTCTTGAAAGTGGAAAATGAAATCTATTCATTTGAGCAAGTATTGAGCTTTAAAAATATTTTTATCCTATTTGACTTTAAGCAGCTGTATATGTGAACCACATTTGAATGCTGGAGTCTTGGATTTCTAATACAGATATTGATAGAATAACTTGAAAGGATATTAATCAACACGTCAATGGGGGCCTCCAGGGAGGGGAATGGGCTGGCCAGGATATAAAAGAACGAGAAGAAGATCATGGTTTTGTCGCAATTTTCTATTTTGAGCTTTGTGAGTTCTGTACCATTTGTGGTTACTATTGAATTCAAAAAATTATAAATAAAAGATTTTTAGAATATTTTTATGGCATCTAGGAAACATGCACTCATGAAGCCCAAGGTAAGAGTTATACAAACTGGACTTAAAATGCTAGCAGGCTGGGGGCGGTTCATGCCTGTAATTCTAACACTCTGGGAGGCTGGGGTGGGAGGATCGCTTGAGCTCAGGAGTTCGACACTAGCCTGAGCAAGAGCGACACCCCATCTCCACTAAAAATAGAAAAATTAGCCAGGCATAGTGGTGCGAGCTTGTAGTCCCAGCTACTCGGGAGGCTGAGGCAGGAGGATCGCTTGAGCCCAGGAGTTTGAGGTTGCTGTGAGCTAGGTTGACACCACGGTATTCTGTGCAGCAAGCCAACAGAGTGAGACTCTGTCTCAAAAAAAAAAAAAAATGCTAGCAATAACTTTGTGAGGAGCATTTGAGTAAGATCTGCAAAGGGAATCTGCCTCTTGCCTGCTCTCCAGGAGACGTGGCAATCTTCCCCTACTACCACTTCCCAACCTCTTCGTGAGAATTCTAGATCCTTTCTTTGGGCTTGGCTCCAAACAAACACAAAAGCAACGCAAAGTTCAAATGGAGACAATTCAAACTTAGAGATGTAGAGAGGTGGAGCATCGCAGCTATTTTCTGGCCAAGAGATCTTTTTATTCTTAGTACAGAAATCTCTCATAATTAATGTCTTAGTGAGGAAAAAACATCAAAGATTTCTTAAGGGTCGTCCCCAAGTTCTTCATCTCTCCAAAGGAGATGCTTCTGTTCTGCACCGGCATCATCTCATTATCACTCACCTACTGCTCTGTCTACAGCAAAATGCCAAACAGGAAATCTCATGGGGAAGGAAGGAGAGGCACGAAGACAGCTCATTTTCAAAAGTCCTATGACAATTGTTCCTCATTGTTTGCAGAAGCTTAAAACAGCCAATTTCACATCATGTTTTGGGTTTTGTTGTTGTTTAAATATAATGCACCCACCTGCAGAAACATTCATTTCCTCATTCTATTCATCCATCCATGAAACATTTGGGCAAATACCAGGTACCATGTCAGGAGCGAGATATACAAAGAAAAACATGATATAAGATTGTAATTACCAACAGGAATTTATTCAGTGCTGTATCCTCAACCTCTAGAACCAAGCCTGGAACAGGTAGGTGCTCAGTGACTACATGCCGAATGAATGAATGAATGAATGAATGAATGCAAGCTCCTGACTTCAAGAAGTTCACAACTTAGTAAGAGAAACAGACAATGAATGAATGAATGAATGCAAGCTCCTGACTTCAAGAAGTTCACAACTTAGTAAGAGAGACAGACATACAGACATAATCAAATGTATCCAAGTAAGGTGATACTAACAAAGAGACTATCAGGAGAGTCAGAAACCAAATATGAATCAAGGAAAAATATTGCAAGATCCCCTAGCGTAAGCTTTCCTTTTATCAATTTCAAAGAGAACTGTGTCAGAAGCAAAGGGCTGACAGTCACCATTCCATGCATTTCAAAGCGTTGGGGAATGAAAATGAAAAGGGGAAGAAGAT